ACCCATCTGCCATTTATTTGCCCAACCCACTAAATGATTTAAATCCTTTTGTAAACCAGCAGCATCCTCTTCACAGCTTACAAATAACACTTATACAAACACAAAAGATAAAGTATAATTCATTGAATCACATCAATTTTCAGCAGTTCCAATTTCTATGTTCTTTACACAACTCAAGGTGTTTTTACTTGTTGGTAACAATGTCCAGTAGTTTATAGAATGTTCTCTTACTACCACAGACCATTTGTTGCAACATTTTTTGTAAGGTACAGCTGAAGATAGGTGTGGATTGCTCTGCACTAAATGTCTGTCAGTTGATGAGTTGATGTATTGCTTAATGATGTTTGGACTTCTTTACTATCCTGTCTAACCATCTTTCACCTCTTTCTATCATTATATGTTTGTGGCCACAATTTCCCCACATCTCTTATATTAACTACAAATGTGCTTGTGCCAGTCATTTATAGTGATCAACTCAGTTTGCATATGCAGCTCAAATCAGGCCCAAATCTGAAATGATCCATAGGTCTTAATACAGTGGCCAGCCAGTGTACATATTTCTTTTACTCTTTGAAAGGTATCAAATTCTATGTACATTGTTAATGCAGAGAGTTTTCACATCACCTCTTTTTTTTTTTAGAACATGTTAAATAGATTTATTTAAAAGAAATCAGATAATTATTTTTACACTTCATAGGAACAATGTTTCCAATCTACAATTTGCACTGAAAAATATAAGAGTAAATGTTAGATAATTTTTTACATTGGAAAGACTAAGTGACTGAAAGCACTTTAACAATACTTTTATTATTCACTATTGAACTAGAAACAATAAAAATTAAAAGAGCACATTTCAACATTTCATTAATAAAATGAACATTTTATCAAAACCAAAGACATTTTGTTTTTGTTATAAGAACAAAGAATAAAAGAGAAAAGCAAGTAAAGTAGTAAGCTCATGGCTACTAAGGTACTTCATATACAATGCAAAACCAGTAGTTTTTTTATGAATAAGAAAAGTTTTCTGACAATAAAATCCAAATACCAATTATGATGTGTTAGGGAAAAAAAGCCAAAATACCAAGTACAAAAACAAAGAAAAAAATTCTCAAATAATATAAATACTGTATTACATATAATACAGCAATTTAACTTGCATTTACTTTTTTATTTGCTGCTGTATGAACACTATCTAATTCCTGCTCAGACTGATTTTCTACAATTCCACATTTTGTCCCAGTACTTTGACTGCATGCTTTCACGTATGTCTTTATAACAGCAACACTGTAATATATCAAATCAAAAATTATAATGAGAACAATTCTGATCAAATGAAATTATCTAAATGCCTATTTAAAACAAGAATACTAACATAAAGTTATGAAATTATCTAAATGCCTATTTAAAATAAGAATACTAACAGCAAGTTATGAAATTATCTAAATGCCTATTTAAAATAAGAATACTAACATCAAGTTATGAAATTATCTAAATGCCTATTTAGAATAAGAATACTAACATAAAATTATGAAATTATCTAGATGCCTATTTAAGATAAGAATATTAGCATGAAGTTATGAAAAATACTTGTTAATATATATGTATATAATATACAAATGCCTTAAAGTATTGATGTATGTGTTGTCACCACCGTAGGCATCTAACACATAGGACAGAAGGGACATGTATCCCCCACTTTTTCCAGTTAATGTACATACATGATTATTAACAACTATGTTAAATTGATATAGCTTTCCCCCATCCCCAGTTTCTAACAAAGATAGACAAACATGATCACCACAATTATCTTTCTACAATTACAACATCTGCAATATCCTGAGTACAATTCATTTTGTGTAAAATTTTGATTCAAGTTTCTTATTCTTTACTAGTGTATGATGCTGAATCCGTTTCTCATTTGCAGGTGATGATAATTTATTTATGTTTGACTAGTATGTTTAACCAGGAAATCTGGACAGATTATCACCAAACCTGGCATTTACTGTTAAGGCCTCTATGGACTCCCTATGTTTTACCTGATGCTTTCAACTGGTCACCAATATGATTGCAGTGCAACTGTAATAAAATATTAATAAAATTCAATCTGACTAGCAAAATTATTCATACTGTCTGAAAACTTAAGAAATAAATATATAAAAGAAATGCTTTGTGGCATTACTTGCTTATTCTGTTTTAGAAAAGCATTCAAGAAGCTTATAAATAAAATTACATTACTCTATGGTTACAACTGTGAAAAATCTTTCATCTGACAAATATAGAAGATTCAGAAGTAATATTCATATGAAATTTTAACTTAAAACATTAGAGTGAGTTTTCATTATGAAGAATATAAACTAGCATTTCAACCACATTTTGTTTAACAATGTAACATTGTAAGTAAGGTCTTTAATTCAATATAAAAAGTTATTAGGATGTCTTGGTTACAATACATGCAGTCTTACATGTAGTTAAATATTATACTTTTAGTATTAAAATATAATTCAAACAAATGTTTTCCTTTAAATGGACTTGTAGCTAATCCATCATATGACTATTTGTCAGGTCTTCTCCATTTTCTTCTTAAGCCATCTTGTGATATCATTCTATGATACATAAATTATCTCATAGTTCAGGAGAGATTTCTTCTTCTAATTGTACTTAAAAAAGCATGTGACTATTCTGCAAATCATTTCTTTTATAGTTGTCCACTTACAAGGTGGATGGATTGAAATGTTTCCATCCATATGCCGGAACTTATTTAACTCTTTTAAACCCATAATTTTTTGCACATTCTGCCGGAATTGTTTTTATGATTTTTCTAATAATTATCCCCATACTTCAATTTTCTTAATATTTAATACTAAATATGTAGATTTCACACAAGATACATAACCTTTAGATGCTTGTAGCTAGAATTCCCACTGCAAGGAAAAGAAAAATGGTGTGGAGGAAATGATAGCTTTTTCCTTGAATAGAGACAGGAATCAGTGGCTATCACAAATTCCTGACCATGCTGGGCCACAAGATCTGTTCAGAGGTTTACTAACATGAGATAGGTAGCATTTAAAATGATTATGAGGCTAGAGAATGTCTTACTCAACCTATGGAAACAATATGCAAGCCCTGACCCTCTTGTTGCAGTTCAGCTGAAGTGTGGTAACTTGCAAATATGGATGGTACAAGTAATCCCTTCTGAAAGGGTTACATGTAGATTACAGGACTGTCCACTGCAATATTCTCCATTTCCATGATTATAAATGTATTCAAGACATGACATTTTAGTGTTTTGAAGAAAGGAATATTTGTGGTGTTAGATCATATCTTTATAGCAAATGAAGGAATGACTCCAATGAGGGAAAAAACTGGCTAAGCCAAGGCTGGCTACCAGTCACACATCAGAAGTGGTCAAAGCTTCAAATAGAATTAACCCGAAAACCCAGCAGTTCAATGAAGCTAAAGAAAGAATATCTCTTGGAACTGTAAATAAAATTCATGCAGATTCAGTACTACAAAAATTATACAAAGCCATGTTCACAAGCTTTTCCTAAAGCACATATCTAATTGAAAGAAACTGTCAAAAGTTGCCTAAGCATTATTTAGAAGAAAGTATGTCACAACAATGGATGAACCATTATACTTATGTACCTGCAAACATCCTGACAATTTACTATTGTTTTCCTTGTAATACAACTTTAAAAAAGTAGGATAGAGCCTTGTATGAAAATTTTTCCAAGGTTTTTTTTATAGTGATTGTAGATTACAGCTATAATCTATATACTACTAAAACTCTGAGATTGTTTGTTTGCTTGTCTGTAATCAAATAAAGCAAAAAACGGTGCAAAATAGCACCATATTTGTAATAAAATGAGAACAGAAACAGAATAAAACAAGTTTCGATAAAATAGAGCCATAGGTTATGGAGTTAGCCCCATTTTTTGTGTCACTTTTATGAAAATTTCTAGATAAATTTAGGTACAATAGCTAGTGCCACATATCGGTTTATCTATCTATCTATTCGTTTTCTATTCTGATGAATCACTTTAAAATATCTTCTGTACAACAATATATGCACAACAGAAATTAAATGATGAGATGAAAATATGTTATAACGGCACATAGAAAGACCAATAATAATAAAATGGACTTACAATATTATTGACTATTTGCAAATCGTAACTATGGAGATGAAGTAATGAAAAAAAAATCAAGTCGAGAACAACAACAAAATTTTATACACGAAAACCTCTCGCCGAGCACTGGCTATTGTATTATTTCCCTGTCAATGTTCCCATCTTCATTAAAAGGTGTAAGATGACAAAAACAAGATCTTGAAAAACCTATCTATCTATCTATATACTAAAAATCTGAGATTGTTTTTTTGCTTACTTTCTCAGTCAAAAAACCATTCACACTACCGTTTGCGCTCTTTACAAAACTTCATTGGGCCACGGGTTACAGAGTTAGCACAGTTTCTCAGGTCACTTTTATGAAAATTTCTAGCATGAGTAATTTTACATCACACTACCATTCGCGCTCTTTACAAAACTTCTTCCTTCAAATCTATTTCTCTGTCACTGTTCCCATCTTCATTAAAAGGCATAAGATGACAAGAACAAGATCTTGAAGAATTTCTCAATAATGTACCTTGGTTATAGTACGTAATTCGAAGAAAATATAAAGTGTTACTGTTTCTTATTTGTTGAAGGTTTAAGAGGAAAGACCACAACATAATGAACTAATTCATCACAATACCTGAAAACTCTGACTTCACTTTTTTGAAAAATGAAATGGTCTTTATATTTACTCCTGATCAACAATCAAATATCTTTTCTTGAATTATGAATAACATGAATGGATTAAAATATTTAATTAAATTATCTCAAAATAAACCTTCATTTCAGTGCAAGATTGAAATTAGCTTGAATTCTTCATAACCTTTAAATAATGGGTGACCCAACGGGTCATGGGTTGTCTAGTGTTACATTAAAAGTCCTGAAAATTGAGAAAAAATGCCAAGAACTCTGCATACTGCTGAGACCACTATATCACAGGAGAGAGCAAGCAAAAGACACTGCTCAAAGGAACCAAACAAGTGTTGTGAAAGGCAAAAGATTGCAAGTTGTGCTATGACCACCAATAGCTGAAGTAAAAATATCTTTTTCCAAAAGTCAAAAAAGGAATAAAACTTTGCCACATGAGAATCCAAAAACTCAATATGTTCATAAATATTTTGTAAGGCTAACTTATGAATGCTTACATCATTATGAATCAATGTATACTTGTGACACCACACAACAACACAAAATTTAGGTTGTAGATCTGTACATGATTATGTCTTCCAATCAAACTTATAATGGTAACATTCTTAATAATTGCTACAATTACTGTTTTATATTAGACTTAGAGTTATACTTTGTACATCTCTTGAGACTTGTCATTTATATATATATGTATAATTAAATCAAAATATTTAAAAGTCAATCACCATGAACAAACAAACATTTGAAAATTAACTTATTAATATTACTATTAGTACTATAACTAGGATTACGAGCCTCATGTCTCTGTTAAACTCTTGAACTGGATTATAAAAAACGTCATGTGTAGTTGGAAATAATACTTCAGCTTTTCCTTCAGTGATCGTTCTATATGGTACTTCATCCATAACAACTGGCGTTAAATTACTGCTAACATTGGATTCAATACTACTGGTACTAGTACAGTAATTTCGATTGTTATCCATAGTAGAATTGTTTAATGTCGATGGAGCATTCTTGTTTAATCCATCTACATTTGCAGTTACACAACTATCAGAATCGCAAGAACTTGGAAAAGACGACTGAAAATGAAACGAGTGAGAGTCAACATGTACTGAATGATGTGGAGACTGAGAATCGTGAGATTCAGACATTTCTTCGCTCTTTCTACTGTAACAACGTAATTTTAGAAAAGAGATTGCATAACTATTTTGTAAGGTGAAATGAGGCAAAAAAGACTGAACAGATGGTGATGAATAACATTTTTTTATAATATTTATACTAAATATCGCTCCACGAATATTAATCATAACATAACATGTGTATACAATAAACTCCAAGAACAACACCGCCATCTAACACTTTACTTTTTTGACTATGCTGAATTGTTTAAAAGTACAATATATTTTTTATCTATTCAGGTGCTAAGCTTTTGTTAAGAAGTAAAAATGTAACAGTTTTTCAAGATAAAAAATGTGTATTATTTCACTAACTTAATTCTAGTATTTTTTATACAGTAATTTTCTTTTAACTTAATTCTCGAGTACCAACATATTCTTTTTCAAGCTTATCTTCAATGCTATAATAATTGCAACTAATCATTTTCATGGTACAATATTTAATAAAGTTTCAAGTAAGAACGTATTTCTTTACATCATTCATAGGTTACATCATAATAGATATAAGATATACAAATAACATTTATATGCCCAATAAATATTACAAAATTTAGGTATGGAGCATTTGTTACTTGAATAAAGTGAAACCACGTATTTCTCTTTATTCATTAATTTTTCATAAAATAAAAAAAAATCTGATACTACCATCAAATTTGTCACTACTAATACTATGAACACCTGTAATGGATAAGGTAGCAAACTTGCCTAAGTACGAGAAACAGACTATACCTAAAAGATTCAATTGAAAAAAATATCCTGTTAGCCAAAGTTTAACTTTGAAAATCACATTTTACCTCATAGTCATACTCAGATCAATTTGTAAAAACCATGCATGACCAAACTACAGACTGCACTGGTCACATGGCGCATGAATGAGCATTGAATTTGTCAACAAGCCAAAGCCATAATCATTGATGAACCTCTCATGCACTGGATGATCCAGAAATCAGATGTGGAAAACACTGATGAGTTGAAAGACTGCCAGATTACTGTGTTTAACCATATCGACCCGACTGATGAGAAAGAAAGTGTTGAAATTACTTCTCTTGAAGGAGGAAGCCGTAGTTGCGGAATAACTCACCTCTTCAAATAGTGAATAGGCGGGAATCTTGTAATACAGATCTAACAGTATAAGTTATGTACATTTCTAAATATGAATTTAACTTAAACAAACATTGATATTAAAATAGATATATAATAGTAAATCCGTCACACTCTTAATTTTTAACTTATATTTCTACGGCACTTAAATATAAATAAAAACTTATGGTGTTTTTAACTGTCTGGCATTTTTCAATTTAATTGTAAATTTGATCTAATTTTATTAATTTGAATATATTTACAATCCCGTTTCATTCAGTTACAAAACCAAATAAAGTCATAATCAACTCTACTTTCTTAAACAAATAAAACATAACGAATAAGCATTTTAT